AACTGTAACTGTAGGTACCCCCAGACGATTACAGAGCAAGTGATTACCACTTACAACTGAAAGTGTAACTGCATGCCCTAACCAGTTTGGCTCAGTGGTAGAGCATCGGCCTGCGGACTGAAGGGTCCCAGGTTCGATTCCGGTCAAGGGCATGTACCTTGGTTGCAGGCACATCCCCAGTAGGAGACATGCAGGAGGCAGCTGATCGATGGTTCTCTCTCATCGATGTTTCTAACTCTCTATCTCCCTTCCTCTCTGTAAAAAAAAAAAAAAAAAACAATAAAATTATTTTAGAAAAATAAAGGGCCGGGTGTGCCATAGCCCAGGGGTGCCCCGCAGGGCTGGAGTCCGGGGTGCCCCCGACAAACGTCCCCCGGAGAAGCAGGAATTCACCCTGGATCCCGGCGGTGGCCCGAAGTCTCCAGAAGGAATCAGGGCGCATTCCAAGGCGGTGGCCCCCCGGCCACGCCAGCTGCTCAGACGGAGCCTGAGGGCCGATAAGCTGGTGCCGCCTCCACTTCAGCCCGGGTTCGGGTGCACTGGCCTGCCCGGCATTTGGGGGTGACTGGGGTCACCATGGCGGCTGGAGCTCTCTGCCCATCGTGCCCTCCTCCCTCCGCGGGGGGAGGTCCCGGGGCGCCCCCTGCAGGCCAGCCTCTGCCCCCGAGGCGGCTGCCAGCAGGCGCACCTGGGCCGGGGGCTCAGGGTCCTTTCTCCTCAGAAGGAGGAGAGGCCTCCTGCGGGGAACATGCGGAGGAAAAGGCAGGAAAGACTGCACAGAAGCTCCCCGTCCTCCTGGCTTCCTCCGACTGTGAACACATGGCCCCGGGCAGCTCCCCGCAGATCGAGGCCGGGAAGGCGGGACGAGGACCTTCTCCTCCAGCAGCCTGTCTGTCCTGGGCTCTCTCCTCGAGGACAGGAGGACCCAAGACAGGGCTCGGAGGCCGCGGCGGCTCAGAAGGCACCAAACTGAGAGCGCCTATTTTTAGGAGAGTCTGAGGGTTGTTTTGTTTTTGTTGTGTTTTTCATTTTTGAACTCTGGATTCTCGGGGCCACAATTTCTCCCTCTGCGCCCTGAGGGTGCAGTCACAGGACTCGATGTGACTGTGACCGCACTAGACGTCCTGTGGCTGCACCCTCAGGGCGCAGAGGGAGAAACTGTGGCCCCGGGGACCCGTAGGGAGCCCCTCGGGAAGGACACGGGGGCCCAGGTTGTCAGAAACCCACAAGGACGGCCAGAGGAGGGCCAGGCGGTCCGCGGTGACCACTGACCGATAACTGGAAACCCAGGTGCCCTCAGACTCGGCGTTCTCAACGGCGGGGGCAGGGACGCCCGAGTTCATCCCCAACGCCACGTACCCCCGGACACCTGCGTGTGCCCCAGGAAGGGCCTGTGTAACCACCCCTGCCCCCACTTTGCTCCGCTTCTGGCTAGCACAGCGACATGGACGGATCGCGACAGTCGCCTTACCCTGTGTCTGGCAGAGCCGTGTCTGAAGATACTCCTCTACGTGAAGTACAAGCTCATCATCGTTGTTGTTGTTTTAATATATTCTTTTTATATATATATATTTTATTGATTTTTTACAGAGAGGAAGAGAGAGGGACAGAGAGTTAGAAACATCGATGAGAGAGAAACATCGACCAGCTACCTCCTGCACACCTCCAACTGGGGATGTGCCCGCAACCAAGGTACATGCCCCTGACCAGAATCGAACCTGGGACCTGTCAATCTGCAGGCCAAAGCTCTATCCACTGAGCCACACCGGTTTCGGCTCATCATCGTTCTTTAACCACTGCCCTGTGCAGGCAGACCAAGTCCCTCCGGACACCACATCTGGGGAAGGGAGGGCGTCTGTGTGGGAGCCCCTCGGCTGCCCCAGCCTCCTTGTCCCACAGACGGGGGAGGCCTGGAGGCGATCAGGGTTCGCTCAAGGCGCCACGGGAGCGGGGGGCGCTGGGCCCAGAGCCGACTGCCGGATGCTCGGAGGACAGACAGACGGCCTATGCACGCGGCCGGTCACAGAGCGAGGGAAGCTACCCCGGGCATGGGCAGGCCCTCTCCCCCCTGCTGGGCAGCCAGCTTCCCGGCACAGGCTCCACAGAAGCCACCAGGTACACAGCCCCAGGCCCACAGCCCCACCCCTGGGGGTGACCCCACAGCTCTGAGGACACCTGGCAGATGGCCCCTTTGAATGCCCGCGGGGGGGGGGGGGGGCTGCTTACATGACCGGGGCACATCCCCATGGCGCCGACGGAGCCCACGCCACACGTGCCAACACGGGACCACTGCCAACGCACGCTGCTCAGGGGCAAAGGCACGAAGCAGGTGACAGCATGCCACCACCGTCACGAGATACATATTTCCATTCCACTCAAGACACCCCACCAGAAAGGGGGGGGGGGGGAAGGAGACGAATAAGGCACTGAATGTGTCTTTAGGCCTGATGACCTTTCTACACGTGAGTAATGCAAACGATCCCCTCCACGTGAACTATCCGGAACTCTCTGTAGAGCAGCGTAATGGCTCGGGGGTCTGGGGGAGAGGGGCCGAGGGGAATCAACAGCTTTTCGGGGGGCAGGGCTTCCTTTGGGGTGGTGAAATGCTTGGGAGCTAGGGAGGGGTGGTGGTTGCACACCATGAATGTACTAAATGCCACCGACAGGTTCACTTTAAAATGATTTTGTTATGTAAGGTTCACCCGGTTTTGAAAAAGCCATAAAAATGAATGAATGAGTGGGGTTGTCACTGGGGGGGGCAGCTTAGCCATGCTGTGAGAGGCATGGCCCTGGAGGCTGGGGGGGGAGGGGGGCTCCATCCCACCACACCCGGCACCACCTAGGAGGAGGCCTCGGGGACGTAATGGAGCCTCACCGAGCTCAGGTCTCCTCCTCGGTGCAGTGGGCACAACCACAGGGCCTGCGCCCAAGGGTGGCTGTGCCGAGTAAATTAAAGAGTCCACGTCAAGTGTCTGGCCCAGTCCAGGCCCCAGGGCCTCCGCTCCCGCCGTCGGCCCGCCCAGCACGCCCTCTCCCCGGGCGGACGAGCGGTCCCCTCCCTCGCATCCCTCACGTCTCTGCTCGCGTGCCTCCATCCGACGGGACCTTCTCTGACCACAGGACTAAAAACTGGAGCCCTCCCTGCCCTGCGGCTCCTCTCCCTCCTCTCCCGGAACCGGCTTTTTTATTTTGCTCACGTCTCCTCGGGGACAGTTTCTGTCTGTCCCGGGGGACACACTCAGTAAGTACACGTCGAATAAACGAATGATGTTCACTAACGTGCCCGCTCTGACCCCGGGTGCCATCCTGCCTCCCTGGAAAAAAAAGAAAACTGTTGTCTTGTTGTCTAAGCAGCTGGAAACAGGAGGATCCAGCAAAAGTCTAAATTTAAAAACCCACAATGGTTCCAGCTCAGCACTAGTCCCCAGAGGGAGCCGTCTGCGGGGAAGAGCCGTTCTCAGGGAAAGGAAGCTGCGTGCTCCAACACGTAAACCGCCCAAAGGCCCCATCGCGGTGTGACCTGGTCCCCGCGAGGCTCTCAGGAGCAAGAGCACAGAGCCAGCCCGGCCGGCGCAGCTCAGTGGCTGAGCATCCACCTACGAACCAGGAGGTCACGGTTCGATTCCCGGTCAGGGCACATGCCCAGGTGGGCTTGATCTCCAGGGTGGGGTGTGCAGGAGGCAGCCGATCCATGGTTCTCTCTCACCATTGATGTTTCTCTCTCCCTCTCTCTGACTCTCTCTCTCTCCCTTTCCCTCCCTCTCTGAAATCATTAAAATTATTTTTTTTAAAAAAAGGAACATAGTGTCACCATGGGAGCCTGGCACCCAATCCCCACCTTGGGACAGATGGTCCATTCACAGAGAACAGGGAGGTTGGGAGCAGCCAGCCTCTCCCTCCCCCCCATCCCGGCCCCCCGGCCTCCCCTGCCCCTGCTGTCCACTCGGCAGACGTCTCCCCAGTGGGACTCAGCTTCCCAGGACTCTCAGACCTCAGAGGGAGAAGTTGTGACCCCCAAGAATCCAGAGTTCAAACGTGGAAAACAAAAACACAAAAACAACCCTCCAACTCCTCTAAAAATAGGCTTTCAGTTAGGTCCCCTCTGAGCCGCTGCAGCCTGACTCGGGCCGGGCGGAGGGAGGCGGGAGCCAGCGTGTGGGCTCCCACAGAGCGAACAGCTACACCGGCAAGTCTGGGCAAACCAGAAAGGAGCACCTTCCACCCGCTGTCAGCAGCCCGCGGGCGGTGGGGACCCGGGTGGGCGCGGGGGGCTGAGTCAGGAGGCAGCCCGTCCGCGGGCCTCAAGTTTCCTCCAATGCCAGGCTCCCTGCGCCCGCTTGTGAACGAACATGCGGATGGCGGGTCTCGCCCCAACTGCTGAGGGAGCAGGTCTGGGGTGGCGCCCTGTAGTTTACATCTCTCACCCCTCCTCAGGGGAAGGAAGGGTGGAGGGGGAACCACTGCTCTAGAACAAACACTTCCATGTCCGTGGGACACCTGCCTCAACTACGCACAGCACCTGCAGACAGACAGACAGACAGTCAGACAGACATGCAGGCGCACACGGCCTAACAGAGCCCCTGCCTGACCCCTGGTCCTCAAGTAGCCCGGCCCGCCTGGCCCAGCCAACTCCTGAGGCACCGCTCAGGGGCACAGGGACAAGTCTGAGTGAGCCCGTCACTGGGAGGCACACCCGAAACCCCTGAACCCCGAAGTCACGGCATTTCCCTTTTCTGAAAGCGGGCACCAGCGAGCCCACCCCACCCGGCTTCGCCCTTCGCACATGGGTAACTCCCAGCTGCAAGATCCGCTTTCTGCCAGGGGGATGCTTTCAAGTTTCTGAATCAGAAGAAGTAGCTGAAAGAGGAAGAAAAGGGGAAAAAAAAAAGAGAAAAAAAAAGAGAGGGGGGGGGGGCCACTCAAGAAGAGCCACAGCGTCACAGCATCCCTGGTGGCGACCCATCAGCCACCGCGGGCCACTCCGCCGGCCTGGCACTCACCAAAGTAATCGGCCTTCGGGTGAGCATCCATCTCCCGCTCCAGGCGCTGGGTGAGGGCTTCCAACTTCAGTTCGGCGGTCGAGGGCCCGAGCTCGGGAGCCGGGGCCAGGGTCTGGCAGGGCAGCCTCACCCTGTGGGCGCTGGGGCTCTCGGGGAGCACGGACCCCAGGCCACCCTCAGAAGGCCAGCCAGGGGGACCTTCTTTGCAAGATAACTCCAGTGGGGTGGACGTCGCCGGATGGACGCGGCCGACGGGGCCGAGCGTGGGACCAGTGCCAGGGTCTGCGCAGCCAGGCTTGGGACCCAGCCTCGGGGCGGCATCCAGCTGCAAACGGTCCATGCTGGCGGGCAGAGAGGAGGGCCCAGACAGGTAGGATGCGGGCCCATCCTGGAACCAGGACTGAGGCTGCGCATTCGGTCTGGGCGTCGTGCCCGAAACCTCGCTCCGTACCCCCGAGTTTGTTTTCGGAAGCGCTCCCTGACTGGGGCAGCTCCCCGAAAAGGGGATTCTGGGTGGAGCGGGGCCCAGGAGGGCCCCGTTCTCCAGGCCTGGGGAGGGAAGGCCAGGGCGCGCCCACTGGGAGGAGGCAGTGGTCCAAGGACCCGCTGGCTTCTCGCTGCCGCGGCCGTGACCGTGACCGCCACCGTCCAGGCCGCTCTCCAACGACGGGCGGGAGCTGGGGGAGAGCTGCGGCTGGTACAGGTAAGGGTCCCTGGAGGGCGTGGGTGGGGACGGGTCACCGCCTGGGGCACCCGGCCACCCCGTCCCTCCACCCAGCCTGATGCCGGGGGCCACTCCAGGTTCTTCACCCCACTTAGGGCTCGCCACAGAGAGGTTGTCATAGTAGTCTCCGTGGGTGAGGCAGGAAGGGTCCTCGCAGGGGCTCAGCCCGTGGCTGGCAGACACCTCGGAACTGGAAGCGGCCAGGCCCTCCTTGGAAGCACAGTCCTGGCTGCCAGGCCTCGCAGGGACGTACGGCCTGGCCTTCTGCTCCTGGGCCGGGTACGAGGGCTGCCCGGCAGCGACAGCGGTGGCTGTCCCAGGAGCTGCCGTCGAGGCCGCCAGAGGGGGCTTGGCAGCGCCGTCCATGGTCAGCCGACTGCCCGCACCGGCTTCCCGATGGGCCTGCAGGCCCGGGCGGCCCCCGCCGTTGACAGGCCCTCGGCCAGCCCGGGGCAGGGTGTCCTCCTGCTGCTGCTGCTGCTGCTGCTGCTGGAGGTGGATCTTGGCCATCTTGGTGGCAAACACCCGGCGGGTCTCCTCAAACTCCGGGTTGTTGCCCGCACCCTTGTCCACTCGGAAGAGCCCGTCCTTGGAGGCCTCGTACATGTTCAGGTCCTCGATGAATTTGCTGGCCTCCAGGCCCAAGTCCTGGTACTTGTCCATGTTGCCGGCGGGTGCGGAGGCCTAGGCCAGGCGCCGGGTAGTGTGTGCGTGTGTGTGTGTGTGTGTGTGTGTGTGTGTGTTTGGGGTGGAGGGAGGGGTGGGGGGAGCAAGAACAGGGAGCTCAAGTCCAGCCCAGAACAAGAAAAACCCTCCACCTGCCCGAAGTGAGGGTCATGGCCCCAGCCAGGCCTCAGAGTCCAGCCCCCGGTCGAGGCCTCAAGGCCAAGAGGCACCAAGTTCTCCTGCAACTTCTTCTCCCCTCGGAAGTGTCCACGTGGGATCCGACGGCGGCGCTTCCCCGTCCCGGCTTACCGCGCTCTGCAGTTTTCCTCTTTCTCAAATCATAAGAGGAAAAAGGAAAAACATAAAACAAACCAAAGTCACCTCCTCTTGAACCAAACTCGGAAACGCACCGCAAGGCAGTCGCCGCGGCGGGTCCGGGGCGCGGAGAGGCCGCGGGGCGCGCGGCCGGAGGCGCAGGCAGGTCCGGGCGCTCGGAGCCCGCGGCTCCCCGGGCGGCCGGGGCTGGTCCGGGGCCGCCGAGCAGGAGGCCCCGCGCGGCCGGCGGCGGCGGCAGCTCCCGGGCCCCGGGCGGGCGGCCTATTGTCCGATCGGCGGCGGCGGCGGGCGGCGCGCGGGCCGAGGGCGGCGGGACGCGGAAGTGAGCGCCGGACGCCGGGGCCTCGCTCGGTCGCCGCCAGCCCGGCACGTCCCGGCTGCAGGGGGGCGGGGCGGGGCGGGGGCGGGGCCGGCGGCGGGGGGCGGGGCGGGGGCGGGGCCGGCGGCGGAGGGCGGGCGGGCGCCCGGGGCAGGTCTGCGGCCGCGGAGCCCCGAAGTGTGTTGGGCACTTGGGTCCGCGCGCCCCCAGCGCCGCGATGGCGCGGGGTTTTCCTGCTCCTCCGCCGCCCCCTGCGGGCCTGCACCGCTCCGTCCGCCCCGAACCCGCATCCCCGGCAGCGCGGGGCCGGCCTCTGCGCCCGGACAGCCCGCGTGGCCCCCAGGCGGCCGCTGACCGTGTGCCGGAGCCTCCGGGCGCCGCGCGCTCCTCGCCCCGCCGTGCCTCAGTTTCCCCGGCAGGAAGCCCACTCCGTGTGCGCCCCCCTGGACGCTCCCCCCTGACCGGGCGGTGTCCGCCGCCCAATCTGTCCGGAACGCAGAGGCAGAGGCCCGCGGTGGCCCCCGTGGGCTGGCCTCGGACGGGTGGGGAGACTGAGGCGCAGAGGCGGGGGACGTGTCCCAGAAGCCGTCGTAGCCAGCAAAAGCCTGATGGGAGCCAAGCCCTCTGCAAAGGAAAAAGTCATGTTCCTGGAGCTCGGAGTTTGAAATGCTCGGAGCAGCAATAAAAACGCGGGCCCGCCCCGGTGGCTCTTTATTCCTCTGTGTATCCCTGACCCCCAAGGAGATTCACTGCGGGGAGCCGGGAGGGTGGCTCCTGAGCGCCCCCGCACCCCCACCTCCGGGTGAGAGGTTTCACTTCTGCACAGCAGCTCAGAGGGGTCCCAAGGCAAACGCCAGGCCAGTCACTTCCCTGCGTACACCCTTGTCAGCTAAGGCCGTCCACCCCTGGGGAGGGTGTGGATAGAAATTGACTTGAGTCAAATAGAGGCTGTGCCCGGAGGAGGAGGAGGAGGAGGAGGAGGAGGAGGAGGAGGAGGAGGAGGGGGGGGGGGGCGGTTAACAGACTGAGACACATGCTCCCAACAGTTTGTAGCTTCTCTTGTGCATTTGGAATTGGGGAGGAAACCTGAGGAAGGTGACCTGAAGGTGGGAGGAAGCAGCGTGGGGATGGGTTCCAGGACAGTTAAGATCCTGTGCTGTCTTGCCAGGCTGGTGTGGCTCAGTGGCCCAATGTCCACCTATGGAACCCAGAGGCCACGGCTCCATTCCCAGTCAGGGCACAGGCCCGGGTTGCGGACTTGTTCTCCAGTGTGGGGCGTGCGGGAGGCAGCCGACCAAGGCTTCTCTCTCATCATTGATGTTTCTATCTCTCTCCCTTCTTCTCTGAAATCAATAAAAAATATTTAAAAAACAAATATCACATGTTCTCTTGAGGTTGACCTCGCTCTAGGAGGGGTCTGAAAAGGGGGACATTTCAAAGGTGCACAGAGACAAGGGTCGGGGCTAGCTTAAGGCAAAGAGAAGCCTTTTACCAAAGAGGTTATATGTCCAGTGCATGACTGCCCACCGTGACGTCACCTGCCTCGCCGAGAATTTATGATCAGATCACCCTTGGAGATTGCTTTCCACAGAATCCTTTTTTGTCCACACCCTCCGTGCTGACCCTGGACCTAGACTGAGACGGACACCCGGCACCGCCTTTCTGCTCGGTTCCCAGGAACTGGCGTGGGGGCCTTTGCACCCCGAGCTCTGGCTGAGGGAGCTTCCTGGTGGGCAGGGCCTCACCTTGAACTTCTCCCCATCTCTGCACAGTCACTCTTCCTGGAGGCTGAGTGTTTCATTTGTACAATGAAGTCTGAGAAGCACAGCTGCAAAGAAGTATACTAGAATAAGATATTTTTATTTTAAACTCCTTTATTTTTTTTTTTAGCTACAAAAGTAGTACATGTGTATGATAACAACTTCGAACAATAGCAATACATAGACTCTGTAAAAAGTTGCCCCCAATCCCCTTACTCAGAGGTGATCGTTATTAAACATTATTACAGCCTTAGGGACTCAGGAATACTTGTTAATGGCCAACACGGTGACTCATAAACTGAGTAATGTGCTTACGACATTTCTGGAGCAGCGGTTCCCAAAGTGGGTCCCAGGACCAGCAGCATCAGTGCCGCCCGGAAATGGTCCAGGTCCACGGCTCCCAAATGCGTTAGAACTCCTTTGGGGAGCACCTGAGCACTGGGACCCACCCCCAGAGCTTCCCACTCAGCAGCGCTAGGTGGGGCCCAGGAGTGTGTCTCTCTAACAGGTTGCCCGGTGATGGCAATGCTGCTGGCTCAGGAGCCACACTTGGGAACCACCGGTGCAGAGTCCATGGTTCCTCAGAGCACGGCCCCTGGGTGCTCACAGGCCTGAGGACATCTATCCGAGTGGAAGGCTGTGACCCACTTCGCCTGAACCCCGAGTTTTGGGGGGTGTAGCTGACAAAGCACTGGGGACACAAAGTCTACAAGCCCAGGGCCAGCTCACCGGGCACCCAGTGCTGACGGCTGGTAAGCCTGGGCAGCAGCCACACTCTCCGGTCAGGGCCTCCTGCAAACCTGCCTCCTCTTTTCATCCTCGTTGGGCAGCTGCCAACTCTCTGGTCCCCTCCTGCCTCCAGCCCCATCGCGGCCTGCCCGGAGTGCCGAGTGCGGGAGGAAGGATCTGGGCAAGAAGGGAGTAGGTAAGCACACAGGCGTTGGAATCTAGGAGCGATCGGCAGCTCTTTGGATCGCTGGGGGAATGGGAAGGCGTCAGTGAGAGCGAAGCCGGGAGAGCAGCTGGTGGGGACAGGTCATCTGGGGAGTAAGAGCCCACAGCCTAGAAAGCATGTGTGATGGAAGCATGAAGGCTCCCCCTTGCCCCCACCCTCCGCCGAGATTCTGGGCATCCATGTCCATGAGACCAGCCAGCATGGTGGTGTGGTTTTCTGCAGATGTGGGTGTGTGGTGGGTGGCGAGTTGGGTCTAACCAGGGCTGGCTTTTGCCAAGCGAATGCCATGTAACTGGAGCGAGCAAGGGAGTTGCCACTTCTCCCGCCTACAACCTTGATACAACCGTGGGACTCCCCGGCTTATCACCCTCCGATCGCCACTCAGGGGTCCTCTCTCTGGAAAGCCCCCTCTCCTCCGTCCCTGTCCTCATCCGACGCCTCGGCGAACATCTGTCTCCGCACTACAATGCAAGCGGCCGACCGCACTGTTCGCCGCTGTCCCTCAGGAGCCTGGAGCAGCGCCGGGCACATGGCAGCCCCCTCCACACGCTTGGCACGTGAATGAATGAGTCACAGCAGAAAAGGGAGTACAAGTGGGACCATCTGTAAGTGGAAAGAATGAACTAGACTGAAGGATGACTCAGATTCCGGGGAACAAAGAAAGGACACAGAGCTACCTCTGCCTCGCCGCTCCGGTCATAGCTTTGTCTGTCACTGCAGATCGTATTACCTTGTACGGAACATCTGGTCTACGTCACAGATCTCATCTTCTATACCGCCAGTCAAGAGTATGACTACCTATAAATACGTACCCATGTATATTTGAATGTGCAAAGGATATCTGAAGGATGGCTATTTGCACGCAGACATGGTATGTTCCTCATATAGGTGCGCATAGAGAACTGTTGACGGAAGGGCATTTGAAAAACCCTAATGCAATAGACCGTGGGCAGTGAGCTGTGCTCAGACAGCCTATGAGGTACCAGGAGCCCACGAGGCAGAGGCCCAGACTGTGGACAGAGCCCTGCTTATTCTGCAGTTAACTGAAAGGGCCCTTCTGTCCCTTTTGCTGGCTGAGGGAAATGTCCCTGCACACAATGCTGCGTGTGTCCTGAGGCCGGAGAGCCAGTTCGGGGAGAGCTCTGAAAAGGATCTTTATCCTTCGGCTGAGCAGATGGATGGAGAGTTAAGAACCCAGGTTCCTCTGGGCTCTTTCCACCCCACGGATGCCAGGAGCGGGCCAGGAGGCCGTGGGCCCTCCAGATCTGCTTCCTGAGCCCTGGGCTGCTCTGCCCCGAGTTCCACTGTGAATTGCCCCCGCCCCCCCGTGCATGGTGGCAAGCAGCTTCGATGAAGAGCCTTCCCTGATGCTCATAGCGGGGCTTTGTGTCCTGGCTGCTCTGGGAAGCTGCCCAGGCCAGACCCAGACACCAGGACCGTGACCTTGCCCTGCGTGTGCTGCCTGTGCCAGGCAGCTGGGCCTACGCCTCCGCAGCCTCCGCCCTGCCGTGGCCTCTGCCACACAGGAAGACCCAGGTGGGGGCATGTGCCTCGCCACAGGCCCCACACGCCCACGGTGGGGGGAGGGGGGGTGCCTGCTGGCCCCGCCCAGCCCCTCCGGGGACAC